GGAATTCAAGTGTTTACATTCAAAAGCTATTATATGATCCTTTCAATATTATGGAAGTAAGTTGTTTGTCCTTTTAGTCAAAATTGTACTTCTAGCATTAAAGGCCACAAGACAAATTAGAAAAAAAAAAGGTTACAATAGCTTTCTAATCTTGACCTTTGTTTTCATTAAAATTTTACATTATATTATCACCCCAATAGAGGGATGATACATAGCATTAGAAGGTTAAACCTTATTCAGAAGAAACAGGCTCCACAGAAAGGATGAGATAGTATATAAAACAGAGTCATAATCAGGCATGGAAATTTTGTTGAAAGAATCTTTGTAAGTGATACCCTGGGAGTTTATTGCTGACACTTGGCAGGCCGAAGATGCAGTTAAAACTTTCTGTGTTAAATAACTAATCTTTGAAAGAGGCATGCAACAGTAATAATGAAAGAAATCCATTTTCGCTGGCATCTGTCAAAACTATTGACAGAATAGTTTTCTATTCTCTTGGTGATAACTCCATGTGTCAGCAGGCAGTAGAAAAACAAAAGATATGGTATCTTGTCCCCAATCCTAACCAATAGGATAGAATTAATTGAAGAAGTGAAGGTGAGTGAAACCTTGGTGGATAGTGTTGATGTTATTCTTGATTTTGTGTTATTCTCTTAAGGAAGAACTAAGAAGAGGCAGATCTGCAAACTGGACCTTCAGAAGATTTTAATGAATTAAAAATTCATTAAAATTACAGGAAAGTAGATTGGACTCAGTAGCTTCAGAGGCTTAAGGAGGAAAGTATCCATGAGGATTCAGAAATCCTTTGAGATGTTCACAGCATAATTGCAAGCAATTCTTACAACAAGGAATGGTGGAATTTAAAAGGAAGATATGGACACACAAAGGGCTTTCTAACAAGCTGAAGTGGGGAAAAAGCCAAACGGGTATAGGAAATGAAATAGGGAAAACAAAATCAAAGAAAAACATAAGGTTATGCCCAGAAACTGCAGGAACAGGGACAGAAGGTGTTAGTGCTGTAGCTTGAAAGATGTAACAAAAATAACAAAAGAAAAACCTATTTTGGGAGGGATACACTGGGAATTAAAAGAAAAACAAAGAAGATGCGGACCCATGGTGGGGTAAACATAATGAATGATGGTTGATGGTGAATTATAATGAGAACAGGACTTCTTAACTTAAGACTCTGTAATGGTGCACTAGCTGCTTATTATAATATCAGTGGGAAAAATGGGAACTGCAGCTTAGGAGAGACTAGGAAAGGCAAGAGAACTTTAAATGAACTTAAGTTCATTTAAAAAGACAACTTAGTCTTTTCAAATGAACTTAAGTCTCCAGGACCAGATGAATTTCACTGTAAAGGCTTGTCCCATTGTTGTCCCATTCTGTTATTATGTCCATACGCTTCTTAATAACGTTTAGACAAATGGAGTTAAATATGTTGAAGAATTCTGTGCATTAAAAATGGAATTTATTTCTGTGTGAAGAATGTGAATTTGTTGAATTTGGTACAGGGGTAACAAAGAAGATCATTCTGTTGTGATGGAAAGATACTGCCACCCCCAGCCTAAGAGTTCTTGATAGATCATGTCTTTTGCTTTCTGCTTATAAATTGTTTTTGACGTAATGGAAATACTGACCAATATTATTTTAAGTGGTTAAGATAGAACGCTATCTTTCATAGTTCATAGTTTTAAATTTCTAGGAACTCATATTTCCGACAACCTTACTTGGTCAGTCCACACTATGGCCACTGCAAAGAAGGCCCAACAGCGCCTGCACTTTCTGAGGTTGTTGAAAAAATGTGGTCTGGGTGAGAAGTTGCTGGCTACTTTTTACCAGTCTACCATCGAGAGCATTTTGGCATACTGTGTAATGGTGTGGTATGCTGGATGCTCTGCAGTGGATAAGAAGATGCTCCAAAGAGTTATAAACGCAGCACAAAAAATCATCGGTTGCTCTCTTTCTTCTTTGGAAGAGATTGTGAAGTCCAGACTCCTCTCCAGAGCACTAAAAATCTCTATAGACTGTTCTCATCCTGGATGTTCATATTTCAAACTGTTACCATTAGGGAGGCGTGATAGGTAGCTTAAAATGAGGACTAATAGATTGAGAAACAGTTTCTTTTCCAAGGCAGTAATTGTCTTGAGTCAAACAGTGCATTTGTGATTTAGTCCTATTATTATTATTTTAATTTTTAAATACTCTGTAGTGTGATTGTGATGTGGTGTTTGGGGCACAGTGCTGGAGTAGCCTTCAAATTTCATTGTATTCGTAGGAATGCAATGACAATAAAGGTATTCTATTCTATTCTATTAAAACTTATAATACATTTGGTAATCAGTTATTTTTTTCCTTTCTCTTTCTGTTGGCTGCTGCTTTTCCAATATAACTTTTTCAAAGCACGAACATTTTTTTTAAAGGGCATCAATCTTAAAGACCTGGACGCTCTTTTTCATTAATTTAATGGAAACCTAAGGACCAATTTTTCATAAGGAGTCCTACACTAGCTCCAGATTAATATTGTTCCACTCAGTCTTCCCCTATTGCTACTTTCTACATTCCTAATATGTAAAGGTGAGTAGAAGAGGCGAGGGCTGTGAGTGGAGTTAGCTTGTGCTACAAACTTACAAATTTTCTTTTAAAAATCACTGTTATTCAAATTGATGATATGCAAATTTGAGCAAAATTCAGATTAAGTGTCCTCAGATCTACCCATTGGTCCCATCCTGCATCACAGAGAAATACAGTATCCTTTTCTAGCCAAATCACCCGCTACCCTTCTGCTCTTTCTACATTTAGGTAATTTTTGGTACTGAATTAGAGATAATTTACTACATACAGAGAAATCATTATTTCAGAGCCATAATCTTGGCAAAATTAAAGAAAATAAAAATTAATTGATTACGTAGCCTTCTTCTAGTGCACACTTGTCTGCTGATTTTAGCTTGAAGCCCAAAGAATTAGTCAGAAGTAAGTCTCACTTAATTGATTGGATTTGACTCCCTCAGTCAAATCTATTGATGCCTACCAAATATGCCTCACCTACTGTAATTCAGCAGAATATTATCTGAGTTCAGCCAATATAGGACTGTAGTGGAAATCCAGAGGTTCCAACTACAAAGCTTGCTCTGCCAAAATGGGCATTTCCTTAGTTTTTGTTTTTCACGATACATCCTCTGGTTTGGCTCTGTTTCAGTGCAGAGCAAGAATCTGGAAATGAAACTTTTATTTGCTTGCCATACTTTGGTATATTTGTATATCACAAATCCTTTAACAAGTACTTTTGTTGAAGATACTTTGGTTATTATAAAGATATAATGATTGAAATAATAATGAATAAAGCTGTTCCAATAGTTTATAAATTCGCATTTTGGCATGCAAAATATGTAACAAAATTGTTTTCAGGTCATTGCCAGCATCAATTTTCATTCACTTAACTGCAGAGGCATTGATGAGAGGCAGAGAATGAGAGAGAGAGAGAGAGAGAGAGAGAGAGAGAGAGAGAGAGAGAGAGAGAGAGAGAGAGAGAGAGAGAGAGAGAGAGAGAAAGAGAGAGAAGAATGAGAGAGAGAGAGAAAAGAGAGAGACGGAGGGAGGGAGGGAGAGAGAGCCAGGGAGGGACCGCTCTAATTCAATGATAGAAAAAACATTCGTAGAAAATTTTAGGCAGATTTACTCAGAAGCAAAGCTTTATCAGGTACCGTGGCATTTTCTCCAAGTGAAGGGTATAAGTAAACTTGAGTAAATTGTTGTATGAGAGTAGATTTAGTTCTTTAGATCTCACATTAGCAACAGAGTTGGGCATATTCTCCCCAAGAATGTTCATACACTGAATATTATCTAATCATCTATCAAAAACACATCTAGAAATTCTTAAAATAAACAAACACCTTGCCTCTTTAAGCCATATGGAAAGTGACTATTTTACTGGAAACAAAATGATTTGTTTGATGTAATAGTAACATGAAGAAGCTGGCTTGTTTTGATTACATGATCCTAATTAACCACAGCTTATTAACCAACCTAAAATCAGTTTCTACTGCACAGCCCTTCCTGGGAATCTGTCAGCGGACTGACTCTTCAGACCCTGTAAACAAATCCCCTCAAACCATTTTGCCAAGTGCGTAATGCCACTAATCTAGAGTTAGTCGCCTTCCCCCACCCCACCTCCCCTATGCTCCTCTCTTAATACTTTGCAGCAGACAATTGGTGCTAAGAAAGTGACATCTTCCCAGTAATCTCTCAGAGGAAAACCTCCTTTACATCGGTTTCCTTCCTAAGACCTACTGGAGAGGGAGATTTAATATTTCAAATGTGTGATTAAACTCTATTTACAATTGTGTGTGTGTGTGTGTGTGTGTGTGTGTGTGTACAATCAGTGAAGATGTCCTTAATATTGTCAGCTTTCTTCTAAGCACAAGCCTTGCTGGGATGGACTAGGGGGTTGGGAGGGCGGAGGGAGAGAGACAGGGAGGGAAGGAGGGAGGGAGAGGAGAGAGGGAGGGATGGGGGAAAAAGAGAAGGAGAGAGGAACAGGGAGGGAGGAAGGGAGAGGGAGAGGGAGGGAGGGGGAGAGGGGGAGGGAGGGAGGGAAAGGCAGACAGAAGGGGAGAGAGAGAGACTGACTTTCTATTGTGGGGAAACTGGCGGCAAAGGAAAGGACAGAGACAGGGAGGGAGAGGGAGCAAGAGGGAGGGGGACAAGGAGAGGGAGGGAGGGAGGGAGAGAGAGAGAGAGACTTTCTATTGTGGGGAAAGTGGCGAAGGAAGGGGAAGACGGGGACAGCTCTGTAGCCCTTCCTGTGGACAACCTGCAAGGGATCCCCAGTCCAAAATGGGACATAATATGCTGCACCGGCGCACGGACGGGTGGAAAGATGAAGCAGAACATTCTGCAGCAGCCGCTGTTGCCTGTGCACGCTCCCTCTCCTCCAGATACACAAGAGTTTCCCTCCTTTCCCTCCCCGCCCTTTCCCCGCTTCCTACCCTTTCACTCACCCGAGCTGCCGCCGCCGCCGCCGCCGCCGCCTCGATCCGTCGTCCGATCCCAAACGCTGACAGATGCCGCGGAAGGCTGCGGGCTTCCTTTCTCCCTCGGAAGTAGCGAGGAGGAAGAAGCCGCAAGAAAAGCGGGTCCCCCCTGGATGGACGCCGCTGTCCGAGGCCCCGCCGTAGCGACGGGGGGACGCTCGGAGGCAGAGCCCAGGGAGAAAGATCCCACAAAGAGATGCGGCCCCAGCAGCAGCAGCAGGAGGCTGAAGGGACGGAGCAGAAACAGGCGCGTTGCTGGCATGAGGCTTGGGATTTCACATGCCCGGCGTTGATGCTGAGCAGTGATCATAACAATCACCCCAAACATTACCACCACCATCACCACCACCACCATCATCATCATCATCATCGTCACGAAGCAGTTGCAGGCAGCGCCATGCCCGGCAGGCGGGAAGGGAGCGGGCGCCTCAGAGGAGCACAACCGCGGGCGCGCCCAAAGTTCCCCGGGTCAGCGGCGAAGCGTTGGCGGCCGGCCCCCGGGACGGCATGGTCGAGCGGGGCGGACGCGGCTCCGGCAGTGGCCGCTCGCGGTGGCGCGGAGCCTGAAAGTAAAAGCGCCCGCAAGGGCAGGCTCCACCTCGCGGCTGCTGACATCACACCCTGCCGAGGCGGCTCTCTTTCTCCTCAAGCGGCCGTCCCGCTCCCCTCCGCCCCTGCAGGCTGCTCCTCGGGGCATCCCCGGGTCGGGACTCGGTCCTATTTAGGGAGGGGCTGGGAACGGGCCATCGGGTAGAGAAGAGGGTAAGAGAGGAGCGCGCGAGGAGCCCAAAGGCGCGAGTCGAGATCCTGGCGCGCCTGTTTCGAGAGGCCCGGAGGGAAGGTGTCAAGCGTGAAGTTTGCGGGCCGACTCTGATAACCAGAAAAGTGCCTGTTTGTAGGCGCGCGCGTTTGTGTGTGTGTGTGTGTGCGCGCGCGCGCGCGCATTCACACATCGCCGCTCTCTGCGGGAAGAAGAGTCCTTGAGGACTAGAAACCTGTCGGTCGTTTTGCTTCGTTCCGATGAACTAATGCCCAACAATGGATTTTTATCCTTTCCCTTTTCTCCCACACATAAACCGAGGCAACCAAATTGTGACTTGTGGGCTGCGGGGATTCTTAAATCAGAGCAGAGATTTTGGCTAGGAATGTGAAAAGTGGAGCTATCAGAAATTTGGATGCCTCTTGCATAGCTACAAACATCTCTTTGGTTATTTTCAAGAGTATCAATGCATTCCCCCACCCCACCCCGCCCTCATTTCCTACCTCTGTAATTCAAAACTATGCAATTTTATTTTCAAGCAATGGTGAAAGTACTATAAGTGATATGAAAAAAATAAAAAAGGCATCTCGTTGGTTTTTATTGAGGCAACTGACTATCTAAAAACTAAAAACCTCAAAGAATTTCTGGCTGAACAAACACAATTTTTTTTTCAGAGATATGATGATGGTCTAGGATTATATTCAAAATCCCAGAAACAAAAATATGAATGCATTTACAAACTGCAGCACTTGCATAAAAGCAAGTTACAGTTTTTGGAAAAGTTTTTAAATATTGGTCTGATCTTCATCAAATGCACACTCTTTAGTCCAGGAATAATAAATCATATTTATTTCTCTGAAGAGTTATTTATCATCTTCTTCCTCTCATCACTTCAACATTGTTCTATTGTCTGCCTATCATTCACAAAACCGTGACTTAAAGATTGAAGCAGGGAAAAGAGAGGGAAAGGGTATGTGTGGTATTCCTGCCATGGGGTAGGAAAGAAAGAAGTAATGTGGATGTATTAATTATGGATAAATTAATGCAGAAAAGAATTTAAAACATGAAAACAACAAGATAACCATTTTAGCAAAAACCAATGATTTGGAAAATGAACCTGTAAGTGGACAGCAAAATAATACCTGCAAGCATTCATGCATCCATGATCCTAAAATGATATTCAACATAAGTAGAATGAGACTAAATTTGGAATCTCGTGAGATGAAAAACACCCACATTTTGCAAGATTCTTGAAGGGAAATTACCAATGATTCAGCATTAGGACTATTATGTGAGATTGTATGATGATGCCTTTAGATGAGAAAGTGATTGATGCTACATTAAGATAAAGCCAATCTGCATTAATACATATTTTCTCAAAATTAAAATCATGTTGTGGAAGATAGCCAAAACTTTCCATTCGCTTCCCACTGATCACATCCTTCTTCCATCCTTGCAATGTGAATTCTTATGGAGAAGTATTGATGTGGATTTAAACTCATTGCAACAGCAATTTGATATAACATTAAAGACAATCACTTGCAAAGAAAAAAACCAGGCATAAATGATCGATGTTTGCAGCTTTTAGAAGGTAAAGTACCATTGCATTATCCTCAAAATATCCCACTGTAATATTTACTAATGAAAATGTTCTTAGTTTGTGCATACCAGTAGTTAGGAGGCTGGGATACTTTTATCCTTGATTCTTTCTTTTTATTTTTCCCATTTACTCTCCTCACTGCTACAGAAATTATCATGCGTATCCTTATTTTTTCAGCTTAGAAAGAATTTATTTATTCATTCATTACATCTGTATAAACCATCAACATTTGCAGTATAAGAATTATCTGTGATTCCTTCCGCAGTTGTAATTTCTGCATGAATTTAATGCAATTCCACACTAACAGTAACAATTGTGTTCAGTTGTGCTGCTGTTGGCTTACACCATTTCCATCCCTCTTTTTATTTCCAGAATTTTATTTCCCTTTCAATTTTATCCTTATGGTGGACTTATAAAGTGAGATATATACAGGTAGTCCTTCATTGAGCCAAGAATTTATGTTACTAAGTGAGAAATTTGTTACGTGAGTTTTGCCCCATTTAATGACTTTTCACGTCACGTTTGTTAAGTGAATCACTGCAGTTGTTAAAATTAGTATCGGTTATTAAATGAATTGGGCTTCCTGATTGGCTACTTGTCAGAATATCGCAAAAGATTATCACATGACCCCAGGGCACCCCAGTTGCCAATCATCCAAATGTAAATCACGTGACCATGGAGCTGCTGCAATGGTCATAAGTATGAAAAATGGTCATAAGTCACTTTTTTCAGTGCTGTTGTAACTTCAAACAGTTACTAAACAAACTGTTATAAGTCGAGAATTACTTGTACTGAGATATAAGAGGGCTTTTGAGACAGGATGAGGTCCTTAATCAAATTGTCTTCCAGGCTCAACATGCCACAATGTTGGCTATGCATTACAGACTATGCAGCTGTCAAAGCCAAGATCTCAGTTATGGAATAAAATCAACTGTTTTTTAAGTTTATTTTTCACAGGTAGAATCTGACACAAGAAATCACATTTTCAATAGAAGGAAATGAAGGAGCCAGCAATAAAAAGAGTGCTTTGGCTTTTCTGCATTTTTTTTTCTTTCCTTTTTATATCTTGTCCCATATTTGATGTTCTCATTCCTTTCAGTTCTTTGCACAAGTAGGATAACCTGAATGCCTTAAATGTAATATTCTAAAGCCTGTAGTCATCACGCTTGAATTAGCAGGGTAATTCCTACACAAGGTTTAGGTATTGCATTCCTTCCTTCTGTCATAAACATTTTATTTTTGTGCCTCAAGTACTGTGAAAAAGCAGCATTAACTTTCTTTAGGATCTAAGATGAAGGAAAAAAAACAATTGTCACTCTCTCTCATTCTTTCATTCTATCACTCTCTCTCTCTCTCTCTCTCTCTCTCACACACACACACACACACACAAACCCCATACATAATTATCTTGCCATTTTGAGAAACCTTAAATGAAAATGAAAATTACATATTTCTTCTTTCTCGGTCACAGAAACATACATAACCTAGTTTTGGTGATTAACAAGCATCAAATGCTTTTAATTATACAATTACCCATTTATCCAAATATGGAACAACAGATCATCAAACCAAGCAGTTCAAAGGAGCTCTTTAGACCATCAAGCTCAGCCATCTGGTTTGCTGTACAAATCTAAATTAAAGCATTCCTCACAATGGGCTATTAATCCTCTGCTTGATCATATCTAGAGAAAGGAAATATACTTCTTAAACTAATTGATTCCACTTCCATTCCACACTTATTTTTATTGCTTGTTTGGCTTTTTTGCTTTGCACATTTCAAGCATTAGTATGTAAACAACAAAAAACAGGAATGTTATAAGCTATTCCCCCCCCTGGTTTTTCATTGGTTTAATAGGCCCTATTATAGTCAGCAGCCTACTTTTTTCTGCTGTATACACATACATTCTAATCTGAAGTCCTCACATATAATGGATTAACCCAGTGATTAATTTATTTAATAAGATGTTTAAAAAAACCATAAGAAAATAATTCAGTAAATAAAATTTAGCATTTAGAAAATGAAATTTCAGAAATTAGAATCTGAACTTAAACTCCAGAAGAAAATGTAGAAATATTTGCAACCTTTGTAAAAAAAAAAAATTAATTGGCAAGAATTTGGTTTTTTCAAGCACAAAGTAAAAGTGGATATATTTCACTTATGACAAAAATTTGAAAAGGATTAGCAGGACATCTTTTTTTTTCATAGAACATAAAGCCAAATCATAGTTCTCTCAGGTTGTACTGTGCAGTCAAATAAGAAGTGCCATTTGCTATTTGTTTTAGCAACAATACTTATTATTAATCAAATAAAATAAAGGCAGAAAATAATAGAAAGAGATTGAAACAGCAAAAACAAAAAAGGGGAAATAGATAATGATAATTTTTGAAAACCTGGCATGTAAAGCTCTTAGATATATTATACTTAACAGTAGAATTATTGACTTTTATTACAAACTGTAAGCAAAAGAAAGGGAAAGAGAAATGAGTAAGTAGCTTTTAATCTTTGTATAAATATGACAATTTATTAACCTTGAGGACTCTTACTACAAAACAAAACATGTTTCCACAGTGTTTCTAATTACTCAGAAATCCAATTTGGCAATGTTACTTTACTGGCATCAGATGCCAAGTCGCTTTACCAAGCACATAAATTCTTGTCTCGATGCTTTTTCAAAAGGCAACTGGACTGATTTTTTTCCCCCTGAGGAAGAAGACATTTCGTTTCTCATCCACTGGGCTCAATTGTGATCGTGACTATCTCTGCGGCATCCTGGGCAAGACCTAGAAGGCAAGGAAGTCTGAAGACTAAAGTGCAATTTAAGTTCTACGTCACAGCTAATTGTTTGTGCCTAACTTTTGAAATATAAATAAGGAAGCGTCAGTATGAGTTTAAAGTATTGTTCAGGACAACTGCAAGATTCAGAAAAGTTTGATCCAATTCCAGAGAAGGTAGAAAACTTCTCCGTTCCACCCATAGTAAACACTTGCATTGATTGTCCATAATAGCTTTTCTTTCTTTACATTCTGTAACTCAGGGGGTCCCTAAATTCTTCTGTTCTTTGACCTCTTCATTAAGTTTTAGATTGCTCATCAATCCCCAAATATTTATTATATGAAAATAAACACTATTTTGATTAACAGTACTACAAATAGTAATATTAACAATAAAACCAATGGATAGTCCCATTGATCTTTGGCGCTCAATACCAACTACTTTGGAGAAGCCTGGGGTAATTCTAGATTTCAGAAAGACCTGCCTATGGAATTGAATTTGTTCTCTAGCAAATACAGGTACCGTCAGTGTTACAAAACCACATTCTATTTTAGATTGATAGTTATTGCACAAAAATATCCGATGCCCTGGAATGAAAACCCAAACCCTCTTTTTTTTTTTTTTAGACCGAGCAGGTTTTGAATTTGCCTGCCGCTCCTTCCCCCTAACTCCCCTTAATTGGAAGTTTCAGCATTCATTAAGATCAGTTGTGAAAAGGGAAAGCCTTTTAATCAGATGGTATGTCTGTACTCGGTCTTTAATTGGCTGGTAAAGTGAATGGCACATAGCTCTCTCACTGGAACTGATGGACCAACTCTTCTCGGGTGATAAAAGAGGAATGATGGTAACGATCTCGGGAAGCAAAATCTGTATTCTCTTCAGTGAGTTGAGTGGTCTCCATGCCAACTGTTGCAAAGGTCGGTGTGACAACAAATCGCTCCTCCGGGGATGGCCTTCCCCTACAAAACAAAAGAACACAAAAACCTTCAGATGCCCCATTGTTTCCCAATAGATCTGCAGCTGCACTCTGAACTATGTAAATAAAACAAAGAAAGAAGAATGCATTCTGCAAAGCACCCCAAAACTCAACTCCAGAAAGGAATGCCAGCTTTTTTTCTTATGGCTCTCGTATTTGGCTGGAATTCTTTCTTATGTAACGGCTATTCTAAACACATGCAAGTCAAAACTTTTTATTTTCCACACATATTTACTTCTTCTCATTTATTGCCAAGTACTTTAGCTGCTCTGATCCATGCAATTAGAAGGTGGAGGTTTGTTCCTGTTACAATGTGTGCTTTATGGCAAAGGACCAACCTCTTAACATGATGCCTGCCACTTCCAAACATTCCTTGTTAGCAGGCAACTGTCCTGAGAAAAAAGTGAGAGAGGGGGAAAAATGTAAAGCTCAGACAGCTTATTGTGCACCATCTCCACAATAACCTCCGTCTAATGCAAATCCTGTTCTGAATAGAAATGTTAAATACACATGTGTAGACTTCCCTATTTATCTTTGATTTTCGAAGTCTATATTGTTTTTAATTTGACTTCTTCACACCTTAATAGTTTGATCTTTTGTTTCACTTCTTTTCTATTCGTTTAGTATAGTAAGTGTTTTGTTAATTCCCTATTAAATGAAACATTTTTGGGGTGGGGGGGAAATTGGCATAATGTTTAGTTACATTCACACATGTCTGACAGTAAAACAGCATTTTCCTTACTATACATCACTTGGTAGAACACAAAAAAAGCTGTAATTAGCCGTGAAATCTACTTCAAAAGTTTAAAATGACACACATTCACATGTGGTCCCTAGACAATTTGTTTTAATAATATTAAACAAACACAGCTGCTGGAAAGCTTCTTTCACTTGTCCCATTCCCCAAGTAATGCCATAGCAAGATAGTAATGTTTTCCTGGGTGTTCCCATATCACCAGCCATAGTCACCCATGGCTCAGTTTTGAGTGAAGAAAGCACTCCAGCTAAAGACTCAATGGGATGTCTCTAAGCTAACTGCAGAAACCAAATTAACCCAGGATCTTTTTTACAGTTTGCTTTGAGTTAACATTCAGTAGTAAGGTTCCATTTTGTTTTGTTTTTTTAATGGGAAAATGGTTCACAAATGTTATAAGTAACTAAGTAAATAAGCAAGCAAGTAAGTAAATAAGCAAGTAAATAAATAAATAAATAAATAGGCCCCAATCCAACGCAAGCACATATAAATAAAATTAGGGATGGGTAAGGTAGGATAAGTTGTTCATTATCAATGACCTGGGTTCATATTCAAGCAATGATTGTCCAGGGAACATATAGCTGCTCTATAGCTAAGAACTATATTTTTATAACCACAATACATTCTATTGTCATTTGGATGCTTACCTCCCACATATATACAGTTTCTGAAAGGGGAGATACCTAGTTTTACCTATTTATGTATTGGTTCAACTTCTTGTGATACTTGGGTAATTAATAAATCTCTTATTTATTCTTTGTAAACAATTTGTTGACTATAAATGCCTTAAAATATAGTTTCAGGACATACAAGAAACACACAATTAGTAGGATGATTATAGGCACTAGAAAACAACGCTTTAACATGTGAGGAGATAAGTGAATTGGCCGATGTCTCCAAAATGTTTTTAATATCTCTATAAAGCTACTGGAAGCAATAATAGAAAAGTATGAGCCAAATGGTTATCCATACGTAGGTGATCTCTCGGTGTTCTTTTAAATTTACTTCCCTTGGGAAATTGTACAACCTTCCGGTGGAATAAAGTTTGTGTTGCATGAGAAAGAACAATGATGGAGCTTTGTAGCTGCTCAGAGTTGGCTTACATTGACCTACAAAATAAGTATGCCATTTAAGAGTTCTTCTGAATTCTAGTTTAATGGAGGGCTCTCAAGGGGTACCAGAAGCCTACAGTGCTTTTTTTACCTTGGTTCAGTTATCCTCCATTTCTGTCACCCAGACCAGACTATTCTAGTGTGGCAGTGTCTTTAAAGATGATTTGGAACTTCAACTGATATGGCAGTCTGATTATTCGGTAGGATCACAGCAATCAGAACATGAGCACCTCTGTTGCACTACTGGTAGTCCTCAATATACAGCTATTCCATTTAGTGACCATTCAAAGTTACAACAGCACTGAAAAAAAGTGTGACTATTTTTCACACTTACAACCACTGCAGCATCCCCATGGTCACGTGATAAAAATTCAGATGCTTGGCCACTGGCCTGCATTTATGACAATTGGATTATTTGGCAATCTTCTGACAAGCAAAGTCAATGGGGAAGCCAGATTGACTTAACAATCGTGTTACCAGGTTAACAACTGCAGTGATTCACTTAACAACTGTGGCAAAGAAGGTCATAAAATGGGCAAAATTCACTTAACAACTGACTTGCTTAGCTATGGAAATTTTGGGGGTCAATTGTGGTCATAAGTTGAGGACTACCTGCAACAAGTACTGTCCTGCACTAGACTTCTGAGCTCAGTGTAATGTTCAGTCCTTTAAACCAGGAGCCATAAGTTATTGGGTTTTTTTAAGTTTACAAAATTTACAAAATTCACAGAGAAAACAAATGTGGAAATATGGAGAGTCTCAACAGGAGCAAGGTGCATCCAATAGGTCTTAGCATGTATCTAGTTAGTTCAGAAATGGCTTTCACTGTTAAATAAGTGCATTAAGGGTGCACTAGGTGCTCTTATAGGACCAGAAAGCAAGACAAAAAGTCACAGTGCTGAACTTCAGTGATATGGTCCAGGGGCAGTCAAAGGATTGTCGGTTTCCTACCCCTGACTAAATCATATATGGCTGAGCTGTTGAGAAGACAGCTTTTACTAATATTGCTTCATTTCTCTTTTGACAGTAACAGCTGAAGCCTTGCTCCAATGCCAGACTGACTCTGAAGGCACTGCCAAGGGATGACCCATGTTAGTTGTTGCTGACATAAGGCCCAAGAGATGAAGGCATTTTGAAGAAGTCTTATGATCTCCCTTCCTTCCTTCCTTCCTTCCTTCCTTCCTTCCTTCCTTCCTTCCTTCCTTCCTTCCTTCCTTCCTTCCTCCCCCCCCTTCTTTCTTTCTTTCTTTCTTTCTTTCTTTCTTTCTTTCTTTCTTTCTTTCTTTCTTTATCTTTTAAAGGAGTTTTAGAGCTAGGAATAGTTAATAGTCAGTGTTCAATATTTTAGTAGTGCTTAGTAATAGGATTTTGAACCGTACTCAATCACACATTTAATTTTTAGCTTATTTAGTAATGTTCCAAAAATTTTGTGGCTCAAACTTATTATTTCATAATTGAAAGTGAGTCCTGTAATGCACTAAGTGGGGTATTTTTTTACACAAGGACTTTAAACTACTATAGGTATTTTATTTTTCATTACAAAATTATTTGTGACTATTTAAAATCATGATTATCAGGGACTGATCCTAATTTCCATTAGACTCAACATCAGTTGTTTATCAGTTTTCCTTAGTCACCAAGACCAACCTGCAGGCATTAAGCAAAAGGAGTTTAATCCACTTGAAAAGGCTGAAATTAGCTGCCACACCTGTAGAAAAATGAGACAAATGCAGATGATTACAATTGTGCAAAATGTTAGAGAACTGTGCTAGGCAAAACATATTAGCACAGGAAAAATTTCTCTCTTCAAAGTATAAAGGCAGCTGTATATTTTGGAGAATTTGGACATCTGTTTTGTCCAAAGGGAACATCTCTGAAGGGAAGAATTACAAAATCAAGAGTCCTTCTTTAAGCCTTAACAATTAAAGTTAGTTTGAACAAGTTCAAACATGTAACCAGAATAGAAATGTGATTCTCTTTTAAAACTAAGTTTAATTAAACAATGCAGGATCTAAATATTAACTATATTAGGAGACTTTTTAACTTTTTCTCCATGATGCAATGCTATGTTTCTAAAGTTGAGAAAGATTTAACCTTTATTTTGAATTGCAATGTTGAACAGCTGGAATAATTTTTTAGTATAATTCATTATACCTGCATAGAAAGCAGCAAAAAATAAAATTAATTGTCCCCAAATATTTTTTAAAAGCCTTTAAAGATTCTGCTGTCAAATATTGTTTGCAAGCTAGCTGAAGCTGAAAAATGGAATCATTGTCAACACTTCTGTTCACACCACTGCACTTGTAATTTATGGGGGACAAAATTAAGACTGATAGCATTAGTTTGGTGATTCTTCAGGACTAGTGTCAGTTTTTATAAAAGACAGCCACTGAGGTTGTAACTGGAAAAGTAGAAAAGATCCACATTCTTTTCAGGTGAAAAGTGATCTTCCAACCTGCTGGTATTATACTGTGAATTCATGATACTTTTTCTAATCTGCAGTGCAGTAATTAATTTATATTAATATAAAAAGTATTCTAGAAATATTTATTTCTGGGCTGTTGGTTTGAGCTCCGAGCTTGGCAATTTGGTTGCAAATGTTTTGTCACCCTTCAAGGAGACATTGTCAGTGCACTTTGAATCAAGAAAAAGCTTGAATCAAGAAAAAGCTCGAATCAAGGGTGACAAAACATTTGCAACCAAATTTCGCCAAGCTCAGAGCTCAAACCAACAGCCCAACTACCCACCTGAGCCACTAATATTCAAACACATATTTAATTCTCTTTACTTTATATTTCAGTTTTTAACAACCACATCATTTTTAAAAACAGTTTATTGTCCTAAAACCAAATTGACAACGAAGAATAGGCAACTTCATTTTGATCTGCTCAAGCTTTATTCTACATTCATTGAGTATTGTAAGCTTAATTTTTACCATCATCAACGATTCAGAATAAGACAAATTTATAAGTGGAAGTAAAGACTTTAAAGGACTTAAATTTATCTAGCAAGTGAGATGAGGAGGTCAAAGAATATGCAGCAAACTCAAAAGAAGATGGAGAAGCAAGAGCCAGAACTTTGAGAAAATATATATATTTACCAGGTGGTAGTCCTGGACTCACTTTGCCAATGTAGAAATACAAAATAATTGCTAGTCCCAAATTAATGAGAGTATAAATCCATTGAATAATGAACATAATCACTAATGAAACTATTGCCTGTAGGAAAGATAATATTTATGATTAAGTTGTTATATATTACATTTTGCTGTTTTTGTTATTAGAATGATAATTTCTGTGGGAAAAAAAGGTAAGAACTTTACATTCAAAGGTAGATGTCTTAGCATCTTCTACTTCTTGCCTCATTATTGGCAAGATTTCAAAGAAATTTTTATGCAAAAAAAAATGAATTTAAAAATTATATAAGCGATTGGGTGAGTAAGCCTTGGGGATGTGAAAGCTTTAACATCAGAGGCTATATACCTTTTAGAACCAATTCCTGTGAATTTGAACTTGTTATTAGACTGTTTGAATTTCCAGAGTTGAACCATACGGGAAAGGCAGTATCAGCTGTCATATTTAATCTGTTTTATTTTGTGGACAGGAATGTAAAGCTATGAAGCCAACAATGTTGCAACAGACTAAGGGTGCATTTAATCCAACTGATCCCAGAACTGACCAGCAGATGCTTCTTGGAAACTTATCCTGCCAATTATGAAGATATTAGCTGTCACTCCTAGTAATTGGTATTTAGATGCAGAATGTTTCTAAAGATGAAATGTATAGATAGTTATTAAAAGTTAAATGCTATTGACAGAGTCCTCCATTATTTACCCACAGTACAATAATCATTTTAAGTTTTAGCATTTTAATGATGTTAAGATATCTCAACTGATAGCCATAGTCAATGCCAAGAAAATTAATCAAGTTACCCACAATCTGTGGTTATACATATGAACCTTTTCATCTTGACTTTTACATTCAATCATGATGCATCTCATCCAATCAATGGATAGACTTCTGATCTTAGTTATGCTTATGAAATGTATGCTTAGTTAGTCACACTATCTGGAATCATGTATGTTGTAATCCCAGATATACAGGCAACATGAAATTAGAGAGATCTAGGACAGGCAACTTAATTTTCTAGTTTAAATTAATCAACTAGGTTACATCAGCTTCCTGATGTGAAGCATTGCACCATGTTGTGACTTATCCTAATTCTAGTTTTTTTTTTCTTTTTCACACTTTCCTAATCTAGGTTAGGAAAGCAAACTGCTCCCATTTTTTCAGCTAAATTTTTTCACCCTAAATTTTTTCAATTTTTTCACCCTAAATTTCTATGGAGATTCCCAGTTATCCAGGTCATGGTTGTCCCAAAGATGCTTTTTCAAGGGGCAACTGGACTTTCTGGTTTTTCTTTCAAGATCAGAGCTGAAGAAACTTCTTGGATGAGCAGCAAAACATCTTCAAAGAAAAAACAGAAAGTCCAGTTGGCTCTTGAAAAAGCACGTTTGAATCTGGAAACCCTGTTTCTTTTTTATTATTATTATTTTATACTACTTTGGATTCAGAGGCAAAAAGATGTTTTGGAGCATGCGGGGTTGCAGATTTAGCACCTTAAAGAAGGTCCTTAAAGAAGTCCTTAAAGAAGATTCTTATAATCACCCCGACTCTCTCCATAGTGGTTACAGACTCCTCAGAAAATATGTGTTTGTTTTGGTTAGGTTTGAAGAATTGCTCTGAAGCATCCTTTTATCTTTGAATCCAAAGAGCTGTTAAGTTCTATTCTATGCATAATGGTTTGAAGTCTACTACTGGATGAATAGTAATATTTATAACTTCTTGCCTACCATGTTACAAAGAGTTTTGCAATATTAGAAGGTGACTCACACCAAAAAGGGAAACCCGATGATCACAAAGCTTGGAATAGAAAGAAACTGGTATATTCTGAATTTCTAATTCTTGTCTTTGTTGTTTTAGATTTAAATCTGCAGAATAAGAGAGAAAGGAAAGCTTTCAACAAATTATAAGATGGATACATTCAAAAGCAACATTTGTGTACTTCTAAAAGAAATCAAAATCCACTAGGGACAGAATACTTTGCCTGAATCAACAATAACCCAAAAAATCCATTCTACTTGTAATTGGGCACAATTTTACCTTCGATTCCCTTTTAGAAATTAAGAGTTGAAGAACTAAAACTCCTAGTTCCAAGTCACCCAACCCTCTTATCTCTTTCAGAAAATCCTGCAGATCTGACTTTCTCCCTTTTCTAATCGGCAAAAAATCTCTGTGTCATGTATTCTGCTTTAAAAGAAACAGGGTTCATGAAGATTTGGGGAGATGGCTCTGGAGAATAGTGTTCTATAGCTGCAAGCATTTAGGCACTCCTGGTCAAATTGTATGTTCCTCAGTAAACAAAGACAGATACAACATTCCACAATATAGCAATAGCACTTATATAGATAGTGCTTTATAGCCTTCTCTAAGTGGTTTACAGAGTCAGCATATTGCCCCCAACAATCTGGGTCCTCATTTTATCAACCTTGGAAGAATGGAAGGCTGAGTCAACCTTGAGCCTGTGTGAGATTTGAACTGCCAAATTGCAGGCAGCTGGCAGTCAGCAGAAGTAGCCTGCAGTACTGCACTCTAACCACTGCACCACCGTGGCTCATGGCTTAATATGAAATTAAATGTGACATCTTTCTGCATATTGAGATGCACATTACTTTGTAATTCTCCCTTTGGAAATATTTCCAAATGTTTCCTGTAGTCAGCTATGAGTCTCCCAGTTCTTGCTTTTAGAATTTATTCCCACTTTTCCTTGCAGAACTCTTCTAACTCGATGTTTTGATTAGGAGATATTTCACTTAACATAGTTACTGGGTGAAATTCTGCAAGCAAACTTCTGCCTATGCAGTAGTTCATCTCTTTCTATTCCCCTTGATAATCAGCTTCAGACAGGGAAGAAAATATGGAGCATATTTTGAAGGAATATAGAGGACCTCTTCTAGCTCTACTAATGAAAGCAATTCTAGCAATGGAAATACCCTAACTGGATTTCACCCAGAGAATGCCGCATGCCTCAGATTCTTTTTATACAATTCTATGCATGTTTCAGATATATATAAAAAACATCCAGCTATGCAATATAATAAATTCCATTTTAACTCAGAATTGTTTGGTGTAGAATACTACAGCCATTTGTTCTTACACACTTTGAATTAATGTTCTGAGTATTAACATTTGGAATGTATTGCCACCCATGTAAAGATTAAACATAAATGCATCTCACATTGCTGTATGGATGAGAGATGCCTCTGTAGAGCACTGGAAAAAAGACACTAAGCCATAAATTATCTCGTAGTGAATTAACTCTGGGCCACTTTTCCATTGGTAAATTAAATCAGAACAGTCTCTGTGCTCAGTTGTAAAAAAAAAAAACAGTTTGTCACAAGGGATAACAGCCTGAACACATATAAATGATCACTTCCCTTACTTAGAAAAGCAAATGAGCATTTTTCATTTTCAAATACATAACAATTTAATGCGCTTCAAATCTTCTTACCCTCCATCTGTGGACTGGAGGGTTTTTGCATTTCATCCAAATGTTGGTCTCCATCTTCCTCCTTCTGATTGTTTTCTCTAATAACAGATGGAGATGCATCATTTCCATCCACGTCTTGGCAATTTGGCTGTGAAAAATGCTGCACATTTTTGACACTGGATCTTAGGGAATCATTGCAACCCTCCTGAATATGAGCAATGTCGTTCTCAAGAGCCAAACAAAAGCTGTCTTCTAATGTTTGCTTGGCTGCCTTCTTTTGCTTTCTCTGCTTGATCACTTGGACGGCATCCACATTGTTTTCTTTTAGTTCAAGATCAATGCCTGGATCTTGACTGACAGGCTTAAAAAGATGGTTCATATCTTTGGTGAATTCCAGCAAAGTTCCATCTGACCTGCGCTCATCTGTTCCATTTGATCCGTAACAAGTCGATTTGCTGAGTATTAAAGGTCGAGAGCAACTTAGCACAGTCCTGGCATCCGCTTGCCGCATCATTTTGGAGTTCTGCTTAAGATTGTAGCTCATGGAGACTGAGAAATAGGAATAATCCACAGCAATATATGTAAGCATGAAGTTGATTGTAACTATTGAAGCAAGAACATTCACTTGGCCAATGAAAATGAAAGCCATGGTGATGAGGCTTGTTAAGCAGATTGCAGCTATTGGAGTTTTGTTCGGCCCTTTCTGCATTAAGAACAAAGATCTAATCACATATGTTACATATGGACAATAATCTGTCATAAAATATTTCTGGATAACGTTTAAATCATATATATATATGTGTGTGTGTGTGTGTATCTATATATCTATATCTATATCTATATCTATATCTATCTATCTATCTATCTATCTATCTATCTATCTATCTATCTATCTATGACATTAAGATGATTGAGTGGGTTCAGAGCTATTTCTCAAGAAAAGCACTCTACTCCTCCACTCACCCTAGAACTCCCTATCCATCCAGGCTCAAAATTTTGGGCCTGGACAATCTAGAATTGCACCACCTGCGGTCTGATCTGAGCATAGTACACAAAATTGTCTGTTACAATGTCTTACCTGTCAATGACTTCTTCAACCTCAATCACAACAATACACAGGCAAACAACTGATACAAACTCAAGGTAAACCTCTCCAAACTCGATTGCAGAAAATACGACTTCAGCAACAGAGTGGTCAACGCCTGGAACACCGTACCTGACTCCATTGTTACAACCTCAACCCCTCACAGCTTCAACCTCAAACTGTCTACTGTGGACCTCACCCCATTCTTAAGAGGTCCTTAAAGGGGGGGTGCATAAGCGCACCAACATGCCTACCATCCCTGTCTTACTGTCCCCATTTATCTCTATTTACTTCCTTTGTTCATATTTATGTTCATACCTATACTTGTTATCTTGTACATGCTTGACAAACAAACAAACGAATAAATAAATAAATCTGCTTGACTGGGACGTCCTCAGATAAATCCTCATCTAAGGAAGGACAACACAATGAGTTTGCTGATTGCCCTCCTGAAGAACCATGTACCAAACAGAACTGACAGCAGCAGTGACTGTTGCTTCCTTTGACTCTTTGGATCCAGATTACAACATTAATGATATTCCCGAATAGCCTGCATTTTGTTTCAGGATAATTAGTATTTTTGGTCTTAGAAGAAAATTAAGAGCTCCCTATACAAAAGTCTTTGCAGACTTTTGAACATCAGCAACAAACATCATCTTGTATCCACTGAGCCATGAATGTAAATTTGGTAACAATTTTCTGACAAGTGACCTTTACGATTGCTTTGATCGTAACTTTTTACTCTATCCTTTGAACTTTTACTTCACCAGAATATAATGAATTCTGGATTGTGCCTTGAACATTTCTGTTGTACCATCAATGGTGAATAATTTGATAATTCAACCTTATTTGGATATTTATTCATATTTGTTTGTTTATCCATTCATTCATGCAATTTTTGTAGCTGCCCATCTCAATCAATGGCTAAAAAATAATAGTCTGAAGTTTATTGGGCACCTGAAATACGGCAGGATTGTTACAAGGCTTAGTGTGAAAAGGAGATGAGAGAGGGGTGCTTGCAAGTCAAAGGGTCATTATATCTACTTCTGTTAATGGGAAACCATAGTTGCCATTTACAGTATGAACTAAACTGAGCCACGCTAAAAAAATGTTTTTTATTTAAGACATTACTAATGTTTATTGATATCACACACTTTAAACAATATATTTAACTTATATTTGAAGACCAGAAGTTCTGGAAAAAAGATTGACTCTGCAAAGCAATGACATTCAGTAAAAGATCCTGGGAAAATATTACACAAAGAAGACAGTGTACGGCATCACAGTAGCTTGTTTGTTTTAAAAATTGAACAGAGATGTGCTGAATGGTATTAGCAGTGTGGAATGAAAGTCTATTCTAAATAAACTTCATGATTTGGAAATGTTTTTCAATATAATATCACAGCCTTTCTTATTCAGAATGACCAAAGGTCTAAATAATGCTTATCAGACAGCTGCTAAGGGAAATCTATCATGGATGACAGAATATCTATACACAGAAAACAAACAGAAAATGCCTTGTTTACTAACTTCATGTCCAAGAAATGCAAGAAGAGGTATCACTTTTTCTTGAGCAATGCACTGAAGGATTCGGGGTGCTCCGTAGAGACCTCCCATACAAGATGCCAAGGATGAAATGTACAAACCAAGTAAGAATAAGAAACCCACCAAGGATACCTAAGAAAAAGAGAGAGCAAAACAAATTTCTTGATTAATGGAAGACACATTTAATAAAAATCACTGTGGTTTACATGGATTATTGATATAATACAATGACTGAAAATATGAATCAGATAATCTGGTGCCCAAATCTCATCAGCCATTAGTAGAAGCATAATATCCTTATATCAAATTGGGCCATCAGTCCATCTAGTTTAATACAGTACTGTCTACATTGATGATTGGTTAATTTTCTAGAGTTTTAGTCTGGATGCGTTCCCAGCACTATCTTGAGATGATGAGTATTAAACTTGAGATAATCTGAACAGGAAGCAAAACCTACACTCACTAGCACTAATGATGGTACCTGTTGGTAATTGGGTAATGAAACATCTGTAAGCAAACAAGCAGGCTTAGAGAAATTCAAGTACTCCAGAGTTCAGCCTTCAGCTGCATATATTATCTTCTTTAGTCTGAATGCACAAACACTGAACTAGAGTCCTTTCCTTAGTAGATTTCTCTCAGTCTCATTCCTCATCAGAAATAGGGGAGTGACAGCATTTTTTTACAATGCTGGTATAAAGATTCTTCAGATAATGCATGTACAAAACTTGAAGAATTGTATTTTAAAAAAATGTCCTAATGAGCCACAAACCAGTGAGAAGCACTTTGCTGCAAGAAAAGATTGGTATTCTGTTGGTATTTTGTCCCTAATTAACAACACAAAAGAATATGCTTTAATTTGCTTTGCCCAGAGTAAAGCAATCCAATGAGAAAAGCTTAATTTAGCAGCAATTTCAGAAGAAACATGTACACCTTTACAGAAAAATAAAGGGAGTAGCAGATATTTTATTTCATTTACATACCTGAACAGAGTTGCAGTCCAGGAAAATGTACTTATACAATTTCAGATAGACTAAATTTGGATAATATACCTTAATTAAATAACATGTTTTTCTATGACATGTTTCAAATGAGATCCTCCAGCCAATAATTTTGGACAGCAATCTAAAGAGGCAGTTACTTCGGGACCACTTCAGTGGGGCATGCAAATTGAATAATGGATTTTTGCCCTTACTTTCCTAATTTAAACCTACAAGACTTTTTTCCCCTTGAAACAACAAAATCTAAGACTTTACAGTCCCATACTTTTAGCTGGTTGTAAATCTTATTGAATTCCTTGGGTGTTAATGCTAAGTAAGTGCACAAGTTTGCAGTGTTATCAAGATATTGTTTCCAGCTCTTGGCACCTTTGATTATAATCGTTCTAGGTAATTTGTGTGTGTTAACAAATAAAGCCTAATACACTACTCCCTCTTTCTCCTCCTATTCTGTTTTATCAGATCATTACTGAAGGCTTCACCTTGACATCCTATTCTACATGATTAATTTTTCCTCCTAGACAGTAACGCCACAAATCCTGATGCAAAGGAAAGTAGGTTATATGGAATAATATCTGTTAGTTCAAAATAGCTAACACCAATCATATTTGCCCTATTTTCCAGGGATGGTAAATTTGCCTTCAGTCTCTAGCTACAAATCTGTGCTGAAAATGATTATACCAACCATAATTAGGAATGCCAAAACAGTAACTAAAAATTGTGGGCTATACTATCCTCTGAAGTTTTACTCAGAGGTAATAATCACTATGCTCTACACTACAGGACTTTAGTTGGTAAGTATTATAGCTAAATTTTGTTTCTGGTTAGGACAGCAATCTGCAACAGAAGGAAGGAGTACTGGAAGTCATATAAGAGATCAGAATTCATCAAATCCCACCAAACCAAGCCAACTTTATTTTTTAAAAAATAAAAAGTGTGTCACTAACACATACAAAGTACAGAGAAGAAGTGACGATAGGTGGGGAATATATGGAAAAGAATCAAATAGAAGTAATTTGAAAATGGCATTGTTGAGTAATAATAGTACTTTTTTGATGCATTCGAAAATACTATGACTAGACCATGCTTTGTACATAATTGAAATGGCCTTATTCAAAGTGTTATGACATTCCACTCACACTTTTTGGGGAAAATGCCCTTTTGCATTGAGACAGTCAAAAGTATATTTGCAGGTGCAACTCCTAATGTATAGTGCTCACAAATTCTTCACTATTGCAACTTAATCACTTCATATATTCCTTTTTTTTATCTCTGGATCAGGCTGAAGGTAAACCCTGAAACTGAGCTGGTGTGGATATTTATGTTGCCACCAGAGTTTTTCCCTGACCAATAAGTCCATCAAGAGGTAGGTTCATGAAAAGGAGGGGTCCTTTTAGATTTATGACTCCTGCTGGAACAGCAGGTAAGAACTGTTGCCAGAGGGCCTATCACCAGCTCTTCTTGGTACATCAGCAGCAGCCTACCTGGGGCTCTATAATAATTATTTTAACACTATCTCTTGAACTACTGTACTGTAATAAACTCTTTTTGGCTCTATCACTAAAGACAATTAGAAAACTACAGTTGATCCAAAATGCAGCAACCCACAAACTCATGGCTATCACTGTTGGGAGCGAATAGCACTACTTTTCTGCATTGGCTGCCAATTGACTTTTCAAGTACAATTTAAAAAGCTAGTTTAGTTTGTTTTTCTGCCTACAATGTTGCCATCAGTACTTTACTTGATCAATTCGATTAAGTAAAGGGAAGTTTCCATTGATCCCATTTTTTGGAGATATCTGGAGAGCTAAAACAAGGAGGGGCTGATTTTTTATTCTGTAGAAGAGTTTCCTCATTATGATTAAGCTTGCTTCCTCTTGCTAATATTTCAGAAAATTTTAAAGATCAAGTTATTAAGGACATCCTTCTCCTGGTTTTGTTAAGCTATTTATATTCTCTTTTTTATGGTCTGCATTTTTTGGGGGGTGGGGTTGTTTCACTGTTTATGATTTCATTGATTTTTATCTGGTTTTATACTGCCTGTAAGTCACCAATAGTAGTGGGGTAGAAATGGGATTAATAAATAAATAAATAAATATCCAAATTGCATTTGAAAATAAAAGTCTCCCTAACAATAATGACATACATATCCTAATGTATCAATGTCTAGGTTTTGGGAGGGCGGAGCTGGCGTCGCGACAATACGGCATGCGATCTTGGAGGTCTGAGATCGCTGCCGATATCTTTGCTCCTGGACGCTCCTATCGGATCTAAACCATCCCGAAGAGACAGTGAAAGTGAAGAGCGCATCCTGTCGATCCCAGGGATACCACAAAGTCCCTGGTTGATCCAGGAGAAGCTCTTCTTGCCAGTGGCAAAGAGGCAGCCATTAAAGCTGCTGAAGTTGGGACAGCTCTGAAACGGAATAGAATAGAAAGAGAAAGTGTGCCAGTTTGGTGAGAACTTTTTTTTTATTCTAAGATCTGAAAGGACACCCTAGGGAAAAGAAAGAATCTGTAAAAGTTTTGACGGAAGCGGCGATTTTAAACAGGAATGTCAAAGTAATGTTTTTTTTTTCTCATTGCTGGATTTTCTATTCACGATCTTGTATTTTGAAACTGGACTGGTTTTTTCATTTACATCTATTTTTTTTCTCCTTTTTGATTTTGTAATATTTTGGGCTAGAGGCTCCCTTTAGTTATTTCTTTTTTTTAATATCTTTTTCTTTCTTTTTATTAATTCTTATTATATCTTGCTCGGAAAAGGAGGAGGAAAGTGAGAGCAAAGAAACTTTGTAACACTGCCAACTAGAGGCTTGAAAATATTCTATTTCCCTGTGACCAGGCAAAGCTGAGAAAGAAAGAACTGAGACTCTTTTTCAAGGACATTGCTATTTGATAAGATAGAGGGAAGAGCATGGGAGAGTATTATTGCAGGTGCTCTTCTGGGTTTCTATCAACAGCTGGAGTCTGGTGTTGAAACCTAGGGGGGGAAAGGTGATAAGTTTTTGGAGAAGAAAGATATAATAAGAGCCTTGGATAATTAAACAAAGTGCAGTGTGGCCTTTTTACTTTTTCTAAGTTGTGCTATCCCTCCTCACCAGCTTTATTGTATTTCATTTTATCTTTTTTTTTCTTGTAATAACTATATGGGTTTTTGGCTTTGTTGGAGCTTGTCTTTGTTTTTCTTTTTTTCTTTGGAAGTCCAATCTCTAGGTTTGCTTTTTATTTTAAAGGGGAAAGCCTTAAAAGCCTTTTTTTCCCCTTTCCTGGTATTTTTGTTTTTTCATCTACCTTTCTGGTTTATTCTCATGCACTCTTTTCTATTTGAGACCTTTCAATTGGATTAAGGTGTTGAAGAACCTGAAGAATTTTTCCTTTTCCCTTTTTTTCTTTTTCTTAAGCCTTTTTCTTCATCTAACTATTGATTGAATTAAGGTATACAAGAACCTGAAGAAATTTTGTCCCTTTTTTCCCTTTTTTATAATTATTATTGGGCTTCTTTTTCTACTATTTTTATTTTGAACTATAATTGGTTACTTCACAATTGGATTAAGGTTTAGAAGAACCTGAAGATTTTGAATTGCTTAAAATGAGTAGGAAATTTACAGCTCCTGGTTCTTCAGCTGCTACTTCTTCCTCTCCACCATCCGGAGGACAACGTTCAATACAAACAATGTTAAAGCAAGAAAAAAAACAAGAAAAAGTGACTCTGCAGATGATTATGCAAGGAATTCAAAATATTCAAGCAAGACCAGAGAATATTGAAAAGAGAATAGAGAACATTGAACAAAGAACAGAGAACATTGAACAAAGAACAGGGAAAACCAATGAAAAAGTGGAGAACATCCAACAAATGATGTTGAAGTATGATGAGAGATTCCAAAAAATTGAAGAAGATAAACAAAGAGACAAGAAGATTGAAGATATTGATAATAGATTAATGGTGGTTGAACAAGATAAAAGTGGTATGTTGAAATGGGAGATGGATAGATCAGAATTCTATCTTAGATTCCAAAACGTAGATGAAGAAAAAGGACAAAACTTAGCTGAGACAATGATAGAAATACTGGCTGAAGCTTTGGAAATAACTCAAGAGAAGATGATGGATGGAATAGATGAGGTTTATCGAGTTTTC